GCTGGACAATGACTAAGGAGGATAAAAGGAGAATTGATGCCTCTGAGCTGTGGTGATGGAGAAGAGTATTGAGGGTACCATGGACTGCTAGGAAAACAAACAGAGTCATCCTAGAAAGGGTCAAACCAGGCTGCTCCTTGGAGGCAAGGATTCTGAGGCTCCGTCTAACAAACTTTGGACATGTTGTAAGGAGGATTGGTCCTTGGAGGACATCATGCTTGGTAGGGTGGAGGGACAGTGCAGGAGGGGACGGCCCCCTATGAGGTGGATTGACTCAGTGACTGGGGTAATCGGGATGGGTGTGTCAGAGGCAGTGCGATTGGCACAGGACAGAGCAGAGTTTAGGGCTGTTGTACACAGGGTCGCTATGAGTCGCAGTGACTCGACAGCACATAACAATAATGCACATGACCAAGGGTCAGAATCTTCACTGTACTAGTTTCTGTCAGAACAGGAAGCTTGGCCTTTTTCATATTTTCTAGTTTTGTTGCATGATTTCCCCCCCTTTACAGATCTCCTAGTCTGATCCGTTTTGGAGTGGTCAGCAATAGTAGCCAGTCATTTCTTCTGGTCTCAGGGTTATGAAGGTCGAGTTTCACGCGGTCCTTTCTTCCGCTGCTAATTGTTGCTACACATCTTTACTTTTCCTCCTTCTTTGTTCTGAACAGGGATAGCTGTGCCTTGGATGGCAACACACAAGATTTTAAGACCCCAGTTGCTGCTTACCAAAGTGAGATGTGGAACAATGTCTTTAGACTATGCTGTGTTTATTGACCTTGATGTTCTCCAGGAGTAGGGTTCCCAGGCCCCAGAATCAGTAACTCGTCCCCTCAGGGTGCTTACTTATGACTGAGAATCTTACACAGCATTGCCCCCTGATGGCTCAGCCATATATGCAGCTGTATTTTCAGCATATACCGATATTAATGTAGACAAATTTTACTGCATGGATCATAACAAACTATGACTAACATTTAGAAGAATGGGAGTTTCAGAAAGTTTAGTTATGCTAATGTGAGACCAAGCAGCTGTGTCAAGACAGAGCAAGGGAACTTTGCATGGTTTCAAATCAAGAAACATGTCCTTCAGGGCTGTAGCTTCTCTCCATACTTACTCATTCTGGATACTGTTCAAATCATTTGAGAAGCTGGATTCTGTGAAGAAGGTGACATTAGAATTGTAGGAAGACTCATCCACGTCCTCTGTTATGCAGACAACAAATTTTGTATGCTGAAAGCAAGGAGCACTTGAAATGTATGGTGCAGAAGATCAAAGACTACAGCCTTCAATATGAATTACATCTCAAGATGAAGCAAACAAAAATCTTTACCAAAAATCTATTAAAGGGAAGGAGTAGAATATAACACTCAGGAGCTTGATAGGACCCACTTTGAACATCTGACAGAGGTAACAGAGTTAGACCCCTTGAGACACAGCCCATGGAAATGTGCATGTGAACTTGCCTGCTGGGACTGCATTGTTGTTATTAGGTGCCTCTGAGTTGAGTACAGCTCAGAGAGACTCTGTGTACAATAGATATAAGTCCTGTCCTGTCCCGTGCCATCCTCACAATCTCTGACACACTTAAGACCATTGCTGCAGTCACTGTTGTCAATCTCCCGGATGATGGTCTTCCTCTCCTTTGCTGTTCCTTCACCTTTCTAACATGACGTCCTTCTCCAAGAATAACCTCTCCTAGGAACTTGTGGAAAATATGTGAGACAAAGCCTCATCATCTTTGACTCCAAGGAGTGCTCTGGCTGCACTCTCTCCAAGACATGGCTTTTTCCCTTTGGCGGTCCATGTACTCTTGTCCAATCTCACAGCTCAAAGGCATCAATTTTTCTTCTGCATCCTTATTAATTGTCCAGATTTCAGATGCATATCAAGTGACTGAAAAGACCATGGCCTGAATCAGGAGCACCTTAGTGCTCAAAGTGACTTCATTGCTCCTCAATAATTTGGAGGCATCCCTAACTACAGATTTTCCCAGTGCAATACAACTCCTGATGTCCTGTTTGTACCAAGTTGCCTGGTTGACTGACTGGAAGAGATCTTTGTTTCTTCACATTCCCAAGAAAGCTGAGCCAACAGAATGAGGAAATCATCGAACCTTTATCAGTAATATCACATGCAAGCAAAATATTGCTGAAAACCATTTAAAACGACCACAACAGTAGACAGACAGGGACCTGCTATATGTTCAAGTTGGATTTACAAGAGGCTGTGGCATCAGGGGTATCACTGCTGAAGTCGATACTTTCTGGCTGAAAGCAAAGAATACTATGTCTATTTATGTTTTATTGACTACACAAAGGAATTTGACTGTATGAATAACAAATTACGGCTAACATTGAGAAGAATGGAAATCCAGAACACTTAATTACACTGGCGCAAAACTTATACCTAGACCAGGAGGCTATTGTGCGAACAGAGCAAGTGAACATTACATAGTCTGCATATCTATTTTATCTATATGCTGAGCAAACTATTTGGAGAGCTGAACTCTCTGAAGAATATGGCATCAGGATTGGAGGAAGATTTATCAATAACCATCATTATGTGGATGACACAACTTTGCTTGAAGCTCTTGTTGCAGAAGATTAAACACTGCAGCCTTCATTATGGATTTCATCTCAACGCCAAGAAAACAAAAATCCTCGCCACTGCATCTATAGGCAACATCACGATAGACAGAGGAAAGACTGAGACTATCAACGACTTCATCTTACCTTTATCCACAATCTATACACTTCTTTCCAGCAGTCAGGGGACACATATTGCGCAAGAGTTGCCCTAGGAAGGGGAATCTTTACCCTAGAGAAACACTGTGTGCTGATTGGGTCTGACCCGCAAGGCAGGGGGCGCCTTGAGCCAATGAGGAGTGTTGGGGCGGGGCCTGTCCAATGAGAACGAGGCGGTGGGCGTGCCCTGTGTTGCCACGGCGCCGGGCTATGGCGCCGGCGGACCCGGATGTGTCTCCTGTTGGGAGCCGCGGGCGTCGGGAAGACGCTGCTGGTGAAGCGACTGCAGAATATCCTTCCGCGCCGGTGGGGTGGGGGGTGGGAGGCGGCGGGGCGCGGGGTCCCGCTTTCAGTTGTGCGGGGTCCTTGACCGCACGCACAGCTGAGCGCCCCCGACGGGAAGGGTGACCTGGGGGACCCGCCCCCGACGCGGCCCACGGTACGTGCAGCTGTCGCGGGCCGGAGCGCCCTGAGCTGTTAGCTGGAGGGACCTTCCGGGAGGGAAGGCGGACCTTCCTTCGGAGAGGGCGGACCTTCGGGGAGGGCGGACCTTCGGGGGGGCGGACCTTCGGGGGGGCGGACCTTCGGGGAGGGCGGACCTTCGGGGCGGGCGGGCCTTCGGGGCGGGCGGGCCTTCGGGGCGGGCGGACCTTCGGGGCGGCCGGCGGGTTGTGGGCAGCGCCGTCCCTGGGTGGGCCGACCCTCGCTTGTTCCCGCGCTCAGTTATATATATAGGCGGCCGTTCCCGGCAGCCTTAGCGCGAGTCCCGCGCGACCGGCACGTGCTGGTCGCCGCCCCGTTGAGTGTACTTTGCGGGGCGTCTCTATGCTCCTGGGGGTTACCGGCCTGTGACTTCCTGCTTGCGCGCGCTGTGCCGGCCTCGTAGGTGGAGTCGGGGCTTGGGGTCCCCCTGCTTTCTGGAAGGGGCCGAGTGGAGTGGGTGATAGGATTCCGCGAAGCCCACAGACCCGCGCGCTCTTGCTTTGGGGGACTTGGTTTTTAAGCGAGCGCTCCGATTTCTTCTGTCGGTGTGCCCGCAGCTTGTACTGGAGTAGGAAGTGTGTTTCAGGAAATGGCCATGACTTCCATGCTCACTTCCTGCTGGGGCTCTTTGCCCCCGTCCGTGGTCACTCCACCGCCTGCGCGCATTGCGGGGCATCTGCGCCCCCTTGGGCTTCTGTCTCCTGGAAGTGCTCACTTCCGCTGCAGACTCGCCAGCAGGTTTTGCATCTTTTCTTCCATTTCGTTCGGTGCGTCTGGTCCAGGCCGTGGTCTTCGCAATCAGTCACCTGGACAGTGACTAGGGAGGATAGAAAGAGAATTGATGCCTTTGAGCTGTGGTGCTGGAGTATTGAATATACCCTGGACTGCTAGGAGAACAAATGGGTTCATCCTGGAGAGGGTCAAACCAGGCTGCTCCTTGGAGGCCCAGAGTCTGAAGCTTCGTCTGACATAACTCTGAGCATGTTGCAAGGAGGGATCAGTCCTTGGAGAAGGACATCATGCTTGGGAGGGTGAAGGGTCAGCACAGAAGAGGAAGACCCTGGTTCAGTGACTGGGGAAATGGGGATAGATGTGTCGGAGACACTGAGATTGGCACAGGATAGAGCAGTGTCGTTCTAGGGTTGCTGTGAGTCCAAGAATCTCAGACTACTCGACACATAATAGCACCAATGACTGTTGCAATCTTCTTGTTGTTACTAAGTGCGGAGGAGTCATAGGCGACTGATAGCGACCCTGTGAATAAAAGTCCTTAGCACTTGTGTGACTTTCAACCTTTCCCCAGGGTCATAGGATTTCTGGAGGCACACTTATGGAAGTGGACGCTAGTCCTGCTTCCAAGCTTGTTTTGATCGGAGAGCTCCACTAAACACTGTCCACCAAATGAGCATTCTCGATGATAACATAAAGCTACAAAACTGAAAACAGAACCAGAGATGTCAAGTGGCAAAAACAAAGGGGGCTGATCTAGGACTCCGATACACAAGGTGCCATCAAGAAATAACAGACTTCTAAACTCGGAAAGATAAAGGTGAATTTAAGAGTAAGCAAAGAGCTAGTAATACCTAAAAACAAAACAAACCAACCCCCAAAAAAACAAAAACAAGAGACTGAGACTATGTGAACACAAAATCTGTAATAAGGGAATTGGAACTCCAATAAAAAAAGTAACTCCACACAGAAAATTTACTGAAACAAAGAACTCATGAACATCATGGACCCACACACACCCACACCTAACAAAACAAAATGACAGCTGTAAATCCATCCCTATCAGTCATCACAGTGTATGGAAAGTTTAAATGCATCGCTAAGAGGACATGTCAGTGTGGATAAAAACATACTCTAGAAATACAGTGCCTGCAAGAGACACACCTTAGACATAAAGAAACACAAACTGCAGCAGGATCTGCAGCGCTCTGGTGGCCTAGTCCTCAGGAAGTTACAGTGCCCACTCACAGGCTGAGCTCATGGTTCAAAGCCACAGGCTCCTCATCTTCAGCCTCTGAAGCACATTGGGTGACGCTGGTGTGTCCTCACCTCAGGCTGTCTATTGGGTGGTTCTTGATCTGCTGGGTTTGTGAGCAGAGGTGCAGTGGGTGCATGGGAACACAATCCCCAGGGTTTGTCAGGACGGGGGCATAGGGGTGTGGTGACAAAGGAGAGAAGGAGGGCTCTGCCCTCTGTCCCTTACATGGGCAGGTAGGGTGACAGATTGGCCTGAGTCCACCGAGGAGGAGAGCCAGGGTCATAGAGGTAGGCCAGCCAACAGTGAAGAAGAGGGTGGTCCTGAGAGTTGGCACTTCCCCCCAGCTGACGCCAGCAGTCAGGCTCCGGGCCCAGCCAAGGTATAAGGCAGCTACTTGGTGATCCTCATGCAGCTCCTACCCCAGCGAGCAGGGACTGCTGCTGGTGAGCTGTCCTGGCTCTGGATCCAGGTTCTCTCTGCTCTGTAATCTCCAAGACCCCTGGGACTCTTGACCGCATCCCTGTTTACCCCCCTTGGATCTGATCATTTTCCTTTCCCCTTGCTCCACTCCAGTCATGTCTACAGTTTGTCCGTCTCTCACTGGGAAATCTATGAAGTTGCCTCTTGTGCTCCGCATACAGGCTCACTGCTGGCATTGTCCACGATGGCCATGTATGGTGGCAGGACCCTGTGGGTGGCTGACTTCTGTTCTTTGCCGGCCACCTTTATCCATTTTTTTCTGTCAGCCAGTGTTTGATTCTGCCTTCTCCTTCTGTTTGACCTTTGGAATTCTGGACTGTCAACTGATCTGTTTCACATGGTTTCTCAAGTCTTTGCTCAAGAGGGGTGGCCCTTGTGGATCCTCCTTCAACTCAGGCTCATCGCCATCAAGTCAGAACAGGTCCCAAAGGTGCCACTGTGGCTTCCCTTTGGAACCCTTAAATTGCTGTGCCTGCTTTGCCTGTAGGTGGGCACCAACCTCACTGATATCATGATACAGAAGAAGGTCATCACCATCAGAGAGCTTGGGGGCTGCATGGGCCCCATCTGGCCCAGTTACTATGGAAACTGCCACACTCTCCTGGTGAGTCCTCACCCCAGAATTCCCTGGGGGAGCTGAGCTCATTCCAGCTTTGGCTAGCCCAGGGCCTCGCTTTGCCCAGGGCAGGGTTGGGTTCTGATGGCTGTGCCAGGCAGGGAAATGGAGCCCCACACAAGAAGTTGCTTGTGCAGGTATTATGAATGCTTGTGAAGGCGGTGACTGTCCCACACCTGCCTTGTCCCCTGGCTCTGTGTGTTCACGCATGATAGCCGCATGATAGCCCTCTGCTTGGCCCCATCCTGACAAGACCCAAGCCTCACATTTTAGACTCCACAAGTGGAGGAAAGACAGACATGGGACACCATGTCTGCCATAGTTTCCCTGTCTTCTGCCTTTGCCAGTTCCCAATACCCTTGGCAAGTATCTTCTTATTCCAGAAGCAGTTCTAGGTCCCTGGGTGTACCTGACCTCTTGACTCTTGTCTTCTACTACCCACCTGGGGGTCTGTGCTGGGGCTACTCCTGACCTCTCAATTCTCCCCAGTTCATGGTGGACGCTTCTGACCCCACCCAGCTCTCAGCATCCTGTGCGCACCTCCTGGGGCTCCTGTCTGCAGAACAACTCGCAGAAGTGTCAGTCCTGATAATCTTCAATAAAATGTGAGAATCTGGGAGCTTAGGGGGCGGGCTACCACAGGGTGAGCCGAGCTTCACCAGTAGGCACCTCTTTACAGATGAGTTTTGGCTGGCCCTCTTGGATGGGTCTGGGGCAGGGGGCCAGTCTGACGGGCACTTCTTTAACCCCAGCGACCTGCCCTGTTACATGAGCGTGGAGGAGATGAAGTCGTTAGTAAGGCTTTCGGACATCATCGCCTGTGCCAGGCAGAACATCAACACGGTGGAAGTCAGTGCCCGGGAAGGCACAGGTGTGGCCGGGGTGCTTCGCTGGCTACAGGACACGCACAGATCCAGCAGTTGATGGCCAAGTGAGGCAGTGACAGGGCCTGAAGGGGACACTGCAGTGCTCCAAGGTTGGCTCCTATAAGGACAGAATGAACTATGAGAGCCCAGGAAGATGGTCTTTTGCTGAGCTGCAGTGGCAGGTAAACAGGCACTGAAATACAGGGGCTGTGGATACCTGGCCTTGGAGTGATGCCCGAAGAGACCAGCAAGGAGAGGAGGATGAACAGCTGGGGGGCTCTTCCTGCCACCATCCTTTAGGGCACCATCTCGGCTCGCCTTCACTGCTGGGGGCAGGCCTTTTACAGCACAGCTCAGAGACCTAGCCTCACAAGCCCCAGAGCTGACTCTGTAACGGTGTGTCTCACGAGGACAGGAGGGTGTCTTGATTTCGCAGACACAGGAGCTGTGTGCTCATGGCCTTGTGCTTCAGGAGCTCTTTCCTATGGGCTGCCAGGTACCTGCCTGAGGTGCCATGTTCAGGTTCTAGGGCTTGAGGGAGGGAGCAGAGCCCAGCAAGGAGTGGTCAGTTCATTAACAGGTTCTCAGTGGGGGCTGCGTCCTCCTGCTGGCTCGGGGATGCCAACATGAGGATTTAGCTGTGCCCCCTCTTCCTTTAGAGTTGTTTTTTCCCCCAAATGGTTTTTTTTTTTAAATCCAAATACTAGCACATTAAACCGCATGATCAGTATGTGGCCTCTGTTATTTATCTCGTGCAAAGTCCCGTTTTCCCACCAAGCTTGGAGGACACAGCCTCACGCCCCAATTCCTTTTGTCCTGGGGTTCCCCTGCACAGCACTCAGGTCCTGCCCCCACTGTGTGGTGCAACGGCTCCCAGCAAGGGGGCAGCTGAAGCCAAGCTGTGGCCTTCACGTCCCCACTTACCCCGCTTTGCTGCCACCATTCGGGTTAGGCAGGTGTGCTGCTATTTCTGATGGAATTTACCCTTGAGGTATCTTGCAGCATTCTACAGTTCTATGTCAGCTGGCACCATTTGTTCCCTTAGAACTCTGAAACCCTTAAGCTAGCAGATACACAAGGTGATGTTCCCATTTTTGCCTCAGATACTGCCCATCATGGGCTCCTGTCCAGTGGATTGTTGTTAAGTGCCGTCGAGTCGCAGGTGACTCATAGCGACCCCATGAAGGAGAGTCCTCTACACGTGGGTGCCTTTCATCATCTCTCCAGGTTCATAGGGTTTCCCGAGGCAAGCTATTATGGAAGTGGATGCCACTCCTCCTTCCACGCTTGTTTTAATCGGGGAGCTCCACCCCACTCTCTGTCCGCATTGTGTAGCCAACCATTAATGCATTTGACACATCCGTGTCACAGTGTTCAGCCTCACAGCAACCACAAGTGACCATAAGTACCTGTAACCTCTGGCTCCCTGCTGACTGGCCGGGAACGAAGTGAATCCTGGCTGGCTCGCGTTTTTTTGGGTACGCATCAGGTGCAATGAAGTTTCACTGGGAGACATCTTCTATTATGTTGAACAGGTATTTTCAGAAGAAAAACTGGCCACAAGGACTACTCTCTGAATTTCTCTATGCTAGGGAGAACTTTGGCCTAGTGCTGAGGAAGTGCACACTTAACCCAAAGACAGGTGGTTTGAATCTGCCAGCTAGTTTGGTAGTCTCCTGCCTTGCAGATTTAGTGCTCCTGAAAACTCAGGAAGGTGAGCTGCTCTCACTCGATGGTACCTGACAGTGCCTCAGAGTGCCTGAAGGTACCCGAGAGTACCTGGCAGTACTTGACCATGCCTGACAGTACCTGACCTTGCTTGACTATGCCTGGCAGTACCTGACCGTGCTTAACAACAAGAAGCATCAGTGAGTGCAGGGTCGGGCCTGCACCGGGTCCTTTGACCAGAAGTTTTAACCTGCCCTGGTACCCAGAAAACAGCCCACAACCACTTGTTTAATCTCACAGGGAATGCATTTATTCCCAGCTAAAGTCAATAAATAATTCCTCCTACTCCCATCCAACCCAGCAGGCCTAGAAACGGGGCTTGAGCAGGTGCTGGCCCTGGGTGGACACAGGCCCGGCTCCAGCGAGGGGTCTGCAGGGTCAGCCGCCCTGGCGCATGCGCAGCTGGATCTCCATCTTGATGAAGGCCTTGAGGTTCTCGTCGGTCACGTGTGTGTCCAGGGCGGCCATTGCCCGCGCCCCGCCGTCTTGGTAGTGCTGCAGCAGCGCGTCCGCGTACTCCACCCACACGCAGTTGGGGCAGCCGCTCATGCAGCAGTTCGTGGGAGGCTGGAGGTCAGGCGGGGGCGGGTAGGGGCCCTCGGGCGAGCCCCCACTGGGCAGGGAGGACTTGTGCTGCACAGTGTCATCGGCGCCTCCCTCGTGGTCCTTCCCAAACGCTCTCCGGCCAGAGTGCACAAGGTGCCCGTGGAGGTCACTGCTGCGGCCGCCTCTTGGGAGCCCCAGGCACCAGCCCCCTCTGCAGAGCCAGTGTGTCCCCTATGGATGCAAACGGGCTGGTTACTCCGAGGACGCAGCTCAGAGGCACTGCTGGCTCAGCACGGGGAAAACTGAGGTTCCCCCGTGACAGGTGGCTCTGTGAGCTCCAGTCCCCTGTGTGACCTCAGGCACAGACTTCGCTCTAGGAGCCCTGATGGTGCCGTAATTAAACGCTGGACTGCTAACAATGGTCAGTGGGGTACACTCACCAGCCTCTGCGGGGTGTGGGGGGGGGAAAGAAGAGGCCTGCCTGTCTCTATCAGCTATGAACCTGAAACCCGGGGAAAGGGGCGGCAGCTCTCCACCCCGCAGGCGCGCACTGAGCTAAAGGGTTTAGGTTCAGTTTCCCACCTGCACAGAGTCTAGGGTGCTGAGTGGGTTGTGTGACATGACTCGGGAAGGCCCGAGACCTGCAGCCCCAGCTGGTGTGGCGGTAAGGAATGTGAAACCGGTTAACTTCTGCCCAGACCCCCACCTTTCCTCTCCAACTGAAAAAAAGCAAACGCAATCAAGCCTGCGATTCTGACTCAGCTGTAGGCAGAGGAGAACTGGCCCTTGCGGCCTGCGATGCTGGCCTCCTGAAGTCAGCGTACTGTCACATCTTTCTCCCCGACTCTCGCCCGGGGTGCGCTGGAGTGGGGGCCCTTCTGCGCCTTGCGCTCTGGGAGCAGCCTTGCGGGGTTGGGGAAGGGGCGATGGAAGCCCAGAGACCAGGACCCCACCGACCAGCCGGCCGCGCTGACGCCCCTGCTGTGGACCCTGCTCAAGCTGTGGCGGCACCCCGGGGGCCAGCCCGATACTTGCCGAACCGTGGGCCCCAGTGACAGCCACCCTGGAGCCCCCGGCCACGCTCCGCAGCAGCATCTCCGGCACGCCCCCAAGCCGTGAGTGGCGGCTGCTCTGGCCAATCCTGACCCAGCAGGGAGCTGCGAGCTCCAACCAGCGTGGAACTGAGCGCAGGAAGCGGAAGTGCGATTGTGGGCGGGACCCCGACCCGAGGGCGGAAGTCACTTGGCTTTAGAAAGCGCGTGGGATGGGGAGACCCAAAGGCCGAGCGGCGGCACCGCCTGGACCCGGGGTTTCTGAGCGGCAGCGGCAGCGGCAGCGGCAGCAGGAAATGCGAGGGAAGCAGCGTCCAGCCCCGCGACCAGGGCAGCACAGGTAGATGAGGCGTGCCGGTGCCCGGGACTTACCCTCCGATCTTCCGATCCCCCCCTCTAACCCTCCCCAGATCTCGCTTAGTCTCCTCCGGTCTGCGCCCCGCCCTTGGAGGACGCCCCTTATTAGTGGCTGAGTGAAAGGAGGGGCGAGTCAGCAATCTTGTATCTGGCACATTCATTTGCTGGGTCTTTGCTCCCAGCGCTATGGAAGACACTGTCTTCGGCGGTCCTGGGGGTTCTTTGGGTTAGGTTGGCGGGAAAGCTTTCTGGGCCCTGTGCACCGCAGCAGCCAGGCTGGCCAGGAGTCCTTTGCTGCTTCTGCGTGTTCTTGTCTCTGTCGGTCTCACTAGTACTCTCCTCCCTAGCGAAGAGAAGAAGAAAGTGAATTGCAAGCCCAAGAACCAGGATGAGCAGGAGATCCCTTTCCGACTGCGGGAGATCATGAGGAGCCGAGAGCAGATGAGAAACCCCATCAGTAACAGGAAGAGGAAGAAGGAAGGTAGCATGTGCGAGCCTGCGCTTCGTGCTCGTGGCCCCACTCAAATGGTTGATGGGATTCCAGGCAAAGACACTGTGGTTCTGGAGGACATGCCCCAAACCAAAGATGTTGGAGGCAGAAGCAGCTTGCTGTACTTGGGGCCTGGGTGCTTCCAGGCCATGGTCAAGAGTACTGAGCTGCACACGCAATGTGGAATCTCATGAAATTTGGGAGGGGGACCAAACTTGCCCCCTTTGAGTGATCCGACTTGGGTGCTCATCTGCCCTCCATCAGGTTTTGTGATAGGAGACTGCGCATATTTCTTCGTTGGAGCAGCTGGTGGACTCAGACCTGGCAGCCCTTTGTTGGCATGGAAACATTTCATGCACTAAGCCCCCAGACCTCCTTCAGCCAGGATGGAAAGCTCACTTGTAGAGAACTGAAGACCTGGGTCAGGCAGCGAGGCTGAGGCAGTTGTTTGGTCTTGGGGTGTGGGCATGTAGGACTGCTCTCTGCTGCCCCTCTAGTCCCCCTAAAGTCCCCCTTTGTCTTTAGCCCAGGTGGCCTTCAGAAAGACACTGGAAAAGGAGGCCAAGGGGGTGGAGCCAGACATCGCTGTCCCCAAGTTCAAGCAGAAGAAGTGGGAGTCGGACAAGGCCTACATCCAGCGCATGGAGCAGGAGACCCAGCACGTGATGTTCCTCAGCAAAAACCAGGCCACCTGGCAGCCTGAGGCCCAGGAGACCCCCAGGAGGGAGAAGTCGGAGCGCAAGAAGGCGTGAGTCAGGACCTGGGGCGGGGGTGTGTGTGTGTGTCAGGCGGGCTGTGCCCAGCCCATGACCCAGGAACTCTAGGCCTGGGTTGTTAGCTCCTGCTCTGTGGAGTCAGCGGGGGTCTCACCTCTGCAGCACAGCTCCCCAGCAGAAGCCCGAAACAGGGAAGGCCTTGTTCCGACTCTGCTTATTTTGGAGAAGCAGCAAAGGTCCTGACAGCCAGGCCTCTCCTGGACACTCTTTGGAAACATGAGGTGCAGGCCTGCTCCCAAGGGATTTCACCTCACCACTTTGCCTTCATGGCACATTTGGGACAAGCCAACAGCCAACCTTAGCATTCCCCAGTTCAGGAAGAGCGCCCACGGGTGCAGGGGCCTTGGGCCACAAGCTGTCTGAATTTTCCCAGCACCAGGGCCATCACAGTTTGCTGTTAGCTCTGTAGTCTTCTGCCCTAACTCCTCGTGTAACTGGAACCCAGAGAGATGGAATCTAGATATGACCCCAAGCTTGGAGCTTCCCTGCAAATTCCCAGAATCATCCTTGACAAAGAGTGGCACATAGACTGTGACACTTTGCAGGATGCTCGGTGTCTAAGCAGCAGCGCTGTGGACACTTGTGTCAGGGGCTTTGCTCTGGTGTCCTGAGCAGCAGCCTCCCTGGCCTTCACCTGCAGAGGTCTAGGAGCCGCCTCGAATCACCACACTGTTACCTGGATATCCCTGGGCTGTAGATGGTAGCAAAGCTGTAGGAGTGAGGCTCTGATGGCAGCCGTAGGGTGTGTGTCGACTTGGGAGCAGCCGGCTGGGGTGGACCGCCCTCCCCTTGTGGGTGACCTGCCACCTCTCTTACCCAGAGTGATGAGAGGCTTCACCGTGTTGGTTTTCTTGCCCAGATTCCAGAAGAGACGGGTGGCTAAGGTCCAGCGGAGGAAGGAGGACAAGGCAGCAGACCAGCTGGAACAGGAGTTGCTCCGAGGTATCAGTGGGCCCGGGCGGAGGTCACCTGGGTGCAGCCCTGCTGCTATGAATCTTCTCCCTCCAGCATTAGCCGGAGTCGGGGGTGAATGAGGGCAGTGTGTGGCCCGAGAGTCATGGCCAGTGAAACTGCATTCCGTGTCCTGAAGTATAGGGAGAGTGGGCAGTGGATGAGAAGGGGGCAAAGACCTCAGCTGTCCTTTCTGTCCCTAGACACAGTGAAGTTTGGGGAGGTTGCTTTGCAGCCCCCACAGCTCACAGCCAAGCCCAGGAAGAGCCTGGACAAAGGACAGGTAAGGAGGGAGGCTGTGGGCAGTGGTGGTGGCGCAGGAAGCCTCTTCAGGGAGTCTTAGCTGTGGGACCTGGTTCAGAGCCTTTGGACACGAGTGTGTCCTCATGGGGACTGAGCACTGGACAGACAGGGCTCTGAATGACCGCCTTACTCTTTTTCCTCAGCTGGGCAAGTCTACCCTGATACTGAAGATGCTTCTGGGTCCTGGCCATTCTACCCAGCCTTTGGGCACCTCCCTGGCCAGGCAGCGGATTTTGGGGGAGGAGAGAGAGCGCGTGGTGCAGGCCTACCGAGAGTTGAAAAGGCGAAAGCAGCAGGGACCTAGGTCTGCAGGAGAGAAGCCAGGAGGAGTCCACTTGTGACTGCAAGGTGCAGGCGTGGCTGCGAACGGCCTACAGCGTGGATCCTGCACATGAAAGCCCCCAGGACCGCACAGAGGACTCCAGGACGCGATGGGGCTTAGCTTGCCCAGGAGCGGGGCTGTAGCATTCCAGTGCCTGGTCCGACGGTGCCCTGCATACCATTTGCATCTGTCTTCCCTCTCGGTGCCTTGACACCCAGACTAGAAGGCCAGGCGTCATGCCCGCTGTCCATGGCACATGGGGACAGACTGCTCAGCCTGACCTCGTGGTCAGACAGGCCACTCGGCAGGAATCTTGTGTCTTCGTGTCTCTGGAGGAGCTGTGACCACCTGGCTGGACTGAAGGAAGTCTGGTCACTTCAGTTCTGGATGCAGCCTCTGTTGGCTGCAGGACTGCGGAGACCTAGGCCTGTCCAGCCGCTCCCTGTTTCAAAGGCTGACCCAGCTTGAGGAATATTTTTTCCACCTTTTTTGAAGTATAAAATATAGCCAAAATACAGCTGTCTTAAGTTAGTGAGTTTTGACGAATCCTGAAAGCCACGCAGTTCCCACCACAGTCACAGTGTGAACCATGTCCAACAACCAACATACCTTAGCTCCAGACCCTTCCATGTAACACTACCGTGACTGTTGGTGTTCTTATCTGAGAGAAAGGAGGTCAAGGTTGTTAGCAGCTCGGCACCCACTTGAACCTGCACGATTCTCATCTCTGTGCTGCCCGGACTGTGCTGCTGACCTCGGTCCATCTTGTCACAGTATTTAATAGATGCTGGCAGTTTCTCATTTCTTTGTGCCTTCCAGCTGAAGTGCTTATCTACCAGCACTACAGTGTAGCTTGTCTAAGCTGTTTTTCATGGAGTATTAAAGGCCTGTAATTCAGAACTAGATGGCCAGTCCTTTGTCTCAATCTAGAAGCTCTGCTGAAATCTGTCCACTGTGGATGACATTGTTGTTTTAAATACTGGGGGCATTGCTCCCAGTACCACAATAACATGTGTTACCCCAGTACAGCAAGCTGACAAGTGCTATACCTGTAAGGGCAAACTATAAACAAGTATGCCTTGGAAAATGGAAAACAAACTGGCTGGCCCAGGACAGTGCATTTGCCAGCCCACAGAAGGTGAGCTGGAGTGCCCAGTCTGGTCAGTTTCCACTCTGATTAGTGACCCAGGTCATGGGAAATATCTGTTCTGATCAAAGGTGTGTTATGTGGTGGGGTGCACAGCTGGAGGGAAGGGGCTCAGTCCGAGGATGTGGCCCTGCTAAGCCGGGGGCTGACTGCAGACCAGGCGTGGCACAAGTGCAGACCAGGTGATGGCCACCAGCTCCAGGAAGAATGCTGAGGGCTGCTGGTTCACACAAAAGGGCGTAAGCCTGGCTGAGAGGGGGGACACTGCCTGCCACCTGGTGAGGGGTGGGCACAAGGGACAGGGAGGACCTTGGATCTGCTGTATGTGGGGTCACTATGGGTCAGGGTCGACATCCTTAGAGGCAAGGCCGATGAACTTGAGCTCATACACTGGCATGTCAGGAGAAGCCAGTCCTTGCAGAAAGACTGATGCTGGGAAAGGTGAGGGGTCAGAGAAAGAAAGCCCTTCACCAAGGTGGACTGATACAGTACCTGTTAGCAACCAATAGGCTGAAGTTCTGCTCCGTGCTTAGGCGTTGCTGTGCATCTCAGCCGCCTGCACAGCCCATCCTAACAGTAACTGAGACCCCTGATCCCCAGTCACAAGCAAAGCACTTGCTGCCCACACACCACCAAGAAGCAACCCCAGGATTCGGGGTGCCTTTGAGATCAGGCGCGGGGGGGGGGGCGGGAAACACCAAAATAAACACCTGAACAAAACAGAGCTCACTATTAGTTCAGTGGTAATTCCGATTCTGCTCTCTGCTTGGGGGAAGAGGACAGACACATCTCTGGGGTGTCCTGGGGGACGCTGCCCAGTTCTTTGCCCTCGGACATAAAGACAAGGTTGCCCCTTGGTACTCGCCGTGTGATTAGTAAGCGCTCGTGATCCCGAGGGACAAATACAGCGTTGAGTCGCTACGCACCTGCTGCCTTTCTCTTGGGACACTCAGACCCGCTGGCCTCCCGGAAGGTCCACCCAGCCAACAGCTCAGGGCGCTCCGGCCCGCGACAGCTGCACGTACCGTGGGCCGCGTCGGGGGCGGGTCCCCCAGGTCACCCTTCCCGTCGGGGGCGCTCAGCTGTGCGTGCGGTCAAGGACCCCGCACGCGGGACACCGCGGCTCCTAGGTGCAGACGCATCCTGAGGTCCCCGCAGCCCGCGGACACCAGTATCCAGGCGCCGTGGCAACGCAGGGCACGCCCACCGCCTCGTTCTCATAGGGCAGGCCCCGCCCCAGCACTCCTCATTGGCTCAAGGCTCCCCCTGCCTTACAGATCAGACCCAATCAGCACACATATTTAAAAAACCCGCCCTCACCTTCCGGTTGTGTTCCCGCCCCCGCGTTGTCCTGGAGACTGCGCATGTGCGCGACGCAAGCCTGCCGGAAGCGGAAGCCGAGGGGCGAGCTCAGTCTGCGGAGGATCGTCGCGGCGGAGGCTCTGGATCCGAGGTCGTCATGGGGCGCGGCAGCGGCACCTTCGAGCGTCTCTTAGGTACCGTGTCCCTGCCCTGCGCGCCGGGCGCCCTCTCCCCGCGCCGCACTCCCGGCCGCAGTCAGATGGCCTGACCCACCGCCCGCCCGGTCCGCGCACCGCGCTGGCCCCCGGGAGGGTCCGCGTTCCCGTCGGGAGACGAGCGAGAGGCGGGTCCCGAGGCGGCAGCCGCGCTCCCCATCCCCGGGCCTCCGAGCGCGGCCACCAGATCCGCACTCGCTCGGGGTGCTCGGTCCCGGCGCCGTGTGCGCGAGGGGCCGCGGGGAGGACGCGTGACAAGCCGCGCGCGGTGTTCGAGCCTTCGATCCGGGTAGTTTGTCGGCGCCGGGCCCCGCCGCCCGTGCCTGGCACCGCGGGCAGAAGCCCTGAGTCACGAGCCGGTGACTCAGGCCGGTGCCACGGCCCTAGGCTCCAGTCCAGGCCCGACCGGCTCCCGCGGGGCTCCTGACCCCGACCCCGGCCCTGACCCCAACCCCGACCGGCTCCCGCGGGGCTCCTGACCCCGACCCCGGCCCTGACCCCAACCCCGACCGGCTCCCGCGGGGCTCCTGACCCTAACCCCAACCCTAACCCTAACCCTGACCCTGACCCCATCCGGCTCCCGCGGGGCTCCTGACCCCGACCACCAACCTCGACCTCAACCCTAACTCTGCCTCCAACCCCGACCAGCTCCCAGGGGCTCCTGGAGACCCTGACCCCAGCCCTAACCCTGACCCCAACCCTAACCCTGCCTTGACTCTTACCCCGACCCTAACCCTTCCTGACCCCAACCGGCTCCCGCGGGGCTCCTGACCCCAACCCTAACCCTGACCCCAACTCTGACCATCTCCTGCAGGGCTCCTGAGCCGGGAGTGCCTGCCTGGGACCCCTGCACTCTGGTTGAGGATGGACAGTGGTTAGAGCGGGCGGTAGTCAGCCCTTCACCCTGCTCCGAGATGGCCGGGAGGGTCCTGCAGGGCTTCCCAAGGGGGTGCGGGAGCTCCTGCTGAGGGGCCAGGCAGGCCGCGGGGCTGCGCTCTCAGGGGTCTCCAGCCTCACCCAGGGGGTGACTGTCTGACGGGGTGACTGCCTGGGTGTATGACAGCCCGGCGGCGTGACCACCTGGCCATATAAACCACCTACTGAGGTGACCACCCTGTGGGGTGACCACCTGGTGGGGTGACTATTATGACCGCCCATTGAGGTGATCTATCACTCTGATGTACTGCCTGGAGGGGTGACCACCCAGCTGTATGACCACCCAGCAAGCTGAACACATGGTTGTATAGCCGCCCAGTGGGGTGACCGCTCTTCAGGGTGACCACTCTGTGGGGTGACCGCCCAGCTGTGTGGCAGCCTGGCAGGGTGGCTGCACTGGTGAGATGCGGCCAAGCCCCTCATTGAGAGGAGTGCAGGCTCAGTCTCCGCCGCTGTAATGGGCAGTGGGCTTGGCCAGCAGCGCCTGCACCTTCCAGGAGCACAGACGGAGCTCCTGGTTGTGGGGCCTGTCTGTAGGGGGTCAGGGGAACAGCGCCTGGCCTGCAGAGAGCACCCACAGGCTCTACTGGGCCTCCCACGCCCAGTCACTGTGTCCCAGGAGCCTTTTTCATGATCTCCATCTGGTTGGAACGTTTACACTGGTGAGGGGTTCCCCTCTCTGATGTTGATCTCAGTGTGGGGACGCGTAGACCAGACCCCTCAGTGGACACGCTTCTTCCCCAGACAAGGCAACAAGCCAGCTGCTGCTAGAGACCGACTGGGAATCCATCCTGCAGATCTGTGACCTGATCCGCCAGGGGGACACACAGTGAGTGGGGGGCTGCGCTGAAGGGGCAGCACTCAGCGGGGACACACAGTGAGTGGGGGGGTGCGCTTCCCAGGCGGGAATATAGTGAGTAGTGCAGGGGGCATGTGGCCGTAAGGGACACACTTGTTAGAGCGTGGTACCCTGCCTTCTGTCCTCCTTGGTGGGCCCTGAGCCCTGATTAGCTCTCAGCTCCTGCTGCATGTTGAGTTCTCAGGGTGTTAGGGGTTTTCTCCACGTAACTTGTGTTGTGTGGTCAGGTCTGTGTGGTTTGCAGTCCCTGTGAGCAGATTGGTTTTTGTGGTCTCAGTTACTAAGGCATTTCCTGTTTCTTTCCACTCTTCCACTTTGCTTTCAGGGCTAAGTATGCCGTAAGTGCGATCAAGAAGAAGGTCAACGACAAGAACCCACATGTGGCCCTGTATGCCCTTGAGGTGACCAGATCCCGGGTCCCCAGTGCCAATGGGGGGGGGCATAGAGCAGATTCCCGCCAGCGGGGGAGTCGGAGAGCCTGACCCTGCACCTGCTTTGCAGGTCATGGAGTCAGTTGTGAAGAACTGTGGTCAGACTGTACATGATGAGGTGGCCAACAAGCAGACGATGGAGGAGCTGAAGGAGCTGTTGAAGGTGGGCCCTGCCATGGTGACCATGCCCTCCTGAGGCACTGCCTGGGCACCCGGTGGGGGACAGGGACGAGGCTGAGCTGGAGAGAGAATAGAGAGCGGTGGCAGTCCCTGTGGTGGTCACTGGCAGTACTGTAGACTGGAGAGACAGGCTCTAGGCATCTTGCTCAGTGTTCCTCATGACCCCTGTGGCTCCCAAGTCCTCGCAGAGTTTATGCTCTCTTCATCCACAGAGGCAGGTGGAGGTCAACGTGCGGAACAAGATCCTCTATCTGATCCAGGCCTGGGCGCACGCTTTCCGGAACGAGCCCAAGTACAAGGTGGTGCAGGACACCTACCAGATCATGAAGGTGGAGGGTGAGTTGGAGTGGGCTGAAGAGGAAGTCTGGGCCCTGGCACGCACTCTAGCCAGAAGCCCTTTTCTAGGCAAGACCGGGGTGCTGTGGTTTGGGCAAAGCCCTAAGTATTCGATGGGATGCCCTGCTGAATGACCAATGAGGGCGAGGGACCCTTAGACAGGCTCCCACCTTTCTGGCTCTTGTGTTCCTTTTGGGGCAGGTGAGGGCTGACAGGTCATATGCCAGGACAAGGCCAAAGGATGTCTTTAGGTAGGAGGTCAGACCTGGAGGGAGTGAATTTGGGGACATGACAGAGCTGAAGGCCTTTTGCCAAAGAGGTATAGGGCGGACGGCCCTGGAGCCCGGCCTCAGCTTGTCAGCTTGTCGTGGAGAGGAGTTCTGAGTTCCTCGCTTAGCGCCCGGCATGCAAGCTAGTGAATGAGTGGAAGGGCAGGGCTTGTCTCCAGGATACCTATGCCTGTACCCCTGCCCTGTGCATTCCTGTGCTGGGCATTGAGAGAGACTGGCCTCTGAAGGCATCCAGCTTCCAGTGTAGAGGCAGAGCCTGTGACACTGGACGCATGTGTTGACTTCCTGGGTTGAGAGCTGTGGTTATGCTCCACATTGGGTCTGTGCCTCCAGATATGCCTCTGCTTTTTGGGATCCTTGGAAACAGATTTGTCACCAGAGCCGGTGCCTGGGGCACAGTCCTGGTAAGACCCTGGAGCTGTGATGTTCTCAGGCAGGAGTGACAGCCTGGGGAGCACAGGGATGGTGGCTCACTGGCAAGTCTAGCCTCCCACTGCTGGCTGCAGACAGGTCCCACACCAGGTCTAAAGGCAGCAGCCCCCAGCCTGCTGTCCTGCCCAAGGCGAGGCCCCTCATGCTCTTTGAACTGGCCCCACCCAGGGCTTTGAGTGTCCTCTTGTTGCCCACCTGGGAAAGTAGTGACTCTCAGAGGTTCTGCAGGAAATAAGGAGACCAAGGCCAACTGCCAGCACGCCCCAGGCCAGTGGCACTGTGGGGTAACAGCTGTCTGCTTCCTCCAGGACACGTCTTCCCAGAGTTCAAGGAGAGTGATGCAATGTTTGCCGCAGAGAGGGTGAGTGTCAGGGTGGGTGGGTAGACTGGGGCCAGGGCTTAGTGGTGTTCCAGGCTGCTGGAGGGTGTCCACGGTGGTGTGGGCTCATTTGGGAACCTGGGGGGAGACCAGGGTCCAGTGTTTCTGAAGAAGCCCCTCAACTGTCTGCAGACTGAGGAGGCGTGGGAATGGGTCTGAACTAGGGCTCTGAGAGTCCTCTGCAGAGGGCCACCTTCTGCCTCACCGGGCCCCTCCCTGGAGAGCTAGTCCCAGGATTCCCCAAGCACAGGCCAAGGTGGGATCGGGCAGCCACTCCCTTCCCTGTGCTGACCCCCCACCCCCCGGCTCCCAGGCTCCAGACTGGGTGGACGCTGAGGAGTGCCATCGGTGCCGCGTGCAGTTCAGCGTGGTGACGCGGAAGGTGAGGGGTGGGCCGTGCCCAGCGTGGGGTGGTTGGGTCCTGTGAGCACCAGCCGTCTGCCACATGCTAGCACCCTCCCGTCAGCCGGGCAGGGTAGGTGCCCACCCTCGCAGCGGAGTGTCCTTGGCTGGCAAGGCTCTGGGGTGGCCTGGCTTCCAGGCAGAAGGCTCGGGGTCCTGCTGTGCTGACACGCACCCCGCCTTCCCATTGAGCTCGGTAGCTGGGGGGGGGGGGTTTCCCCCCACGAGCCTGCACTCTGGCTTCAGGAACCACCTGCCTTTCCTCTCGGGCAGAGCAAACTCACATGGCGTCTGTGTGTGTCACGCTGAGATGACACACACAGACTGACGTGAGCAGAGTGCACGTTCATGTGTGCATATACATTCCTGTCCTGTGTCCACACATAACCCACACAAGTGACACACTCGCTTTATTTTTTTAAATCTTTCTTTCATTTCGTCCACGGTTGCACATTTTTCTTCCTTTGCACCCACCCTCACTTGTCATATTTACTTGCTTTAAACATCAGGAGTGTTTTACTTCACGGGTCCCTTTCTCTGCAACTGCTTGGTCTTGGTGCTCCTGGGAGGTTTCAGTGCAGAGCTGGCCCCTGCTGTGACCCCACACGCCAGCCAGGTCTCTGACCAGGTCTCCGCTTGGCCCCTACAGCACCACTGCCGGGCGTGCGGGCAGATCTTCTGCGGGAAGTGCTCCTCCCGCTACTCCACCATCCCCAAGTTCGGCATCGAGAAGGAGGTCCGCGTGTGCGAGCCTTGCTACGAGCAGCTGAACAAGTGAGCCTCCCCCATGCTGCGTGACATTCTGGACTGTGGTCCAGAGCCCCCCTGTCCTGAGGCTCCTCACTACCCAGAACTGTGGTGAAGGGCAGCTCGGTGCTGGGGGTCCTGATCAGCACCCCAGCCCTAGGACAGGTGCAGACAGGTGCGGTGCCAACAGCACCCGGTGAACGTCATGCTTACAGCAAACGCTGTGCGTGTGTGTGCGTTTGGCTTTTTTTCCTTTTTCACTGCGGCACTATTGTGAACAAACAGTGGCCTGGTGTGACCTGTGGTTTCTTCCAAATGCTTTTAAGAGCCGTGTTAGGGAGGCTGAGAACCTGAACAGGTGGAGATTGGGTGCGACAAAGGGTCCGCTTCATCCTCAAGGCCGCATCTCCTTCCGGAAGCCCAGGCAACCTGTGGAGAGTGACAACACGGGCCGCGTTCATCTTGGTTTTGGACACTTTTTCCATGCTTCCCTTACCCTGGGAAGGCTCCAGGATACCCTACCCAGGAAGAAAGGGCCTCAAACCCCAATCCAGGAAATGTTCACCTGTGTCAGAGGAGATACCAGACCAGCATGTGGAGGTCCTGGTGGGCACAGACCCGTAGAGTCAGCCACGCTCCTAAAGCATGCGGGAGCATGACGGAGGGTCTGCTGCACAGAGGTGGTCAGGTGGCCCAGCGGCCTGTGTGCGGTCACATGGCCAGTTGTAGTAGAGCAGAGCTAGGGTTCCAAGAGCCGGACGGTGCCCACCTGCCTTTTTCTGAAACCCTGTGTGTGTGACCTGGGCTGTCATGCCCTTGCCCTGGGTGGACAAGGAGGAACCTGGGGGCGGGGCTCGCCTCTGACATCCAGTGCCACCTCCAGGAAAGCAGAGGGGAAGTCCACGTCCACTGCCGAGCTGCCGCCGGAGTACCTGACCAGTCCCCTGTCCCAGCAGTCGCAGGTACAGCCCCTCCCCAGCCACCCTCCTGCCCAGGGCACTGCCTGGCATCTCCCAGGGCCACTCACCTGGCCTGTGTGTCACAGCTGCCCCCTAAGAGGGATGAGACGGCCCTGCAGGAGGAAGAGGAGCTGCAGCTGGCCCTGGCGCTGTCACAGTCTGAGGCCGAGGAGAAGGAGCGGATGGTAAGCCCAGCTCGCTGGGTCCTGAGGGTGCAGGTGTGTGGCACACAGCCTCATCCTGCCACTTGTCATGCTTTGTTGCAGAGACAGAAATCCACATACACCGCGTACCCCAAAGCGGAGCCCACGCCCGTCTCTTCCTCTGCACCCCCTGCCAGCAGCCTGTACTCCTCGCCTGTGGTAAGATCCCATCCCCACAACACAGTTGAGGCAGGCAGTCTTACGTGTCCTAAAAGGACAGGTGGGGTAAGGGTGCCTCTGTGAACAATTGTGGGGTTCAACTCAATCCTGGATGGGGTCAATGACAAACCTGCTTCCAAGCCTTTGTAAAGAACAAGCTCTGCAGTGCTTTGGGGTGCAGGCAGACCAGGCCACAAGCACCCCACACACTATCCCATGGGGTGCCTCTCACCCTACTCATCCTGATGTTTACCCTCGGCTCCTCCATTCTCACCTGCAGGGTTACAGGCCCCAAGGGTAGGAGGTGAGGGCCAACCCCTGCTGCAGCCAGCTAGGTAGACAGTGGGGCTGCTGGACCCTGGGGTGTACACCCCACTGGGGCCCCTCCAGGATCTGGACCCCTTCAGAAATCTGGAATCACCTCCTAATTGGAGGGAGAGACACAGACACCCAACCAGTGAATGTCATGTTGTGTGGCCAGTGCCAAGGGTGGGGCCAGCTTGCTGTGGAACCCCCGTAGTGTAGAGACAGGCTGGAGGTCAGCAGGTGGCCGCGCTTGGGGACTGCACGCTGCCCTCAGCGCCTGGTCCTGCCTGGGTTGCTATCCAGGGATTACAAGGGCCTGGGCCTAGGCCCCGGCAAGCTGCTGCTCTCAGCACCTTCTGGGGATGTGACTTCTCAAAAACTCTTTCTCCCCAGAATTCGTCAGCACCTCTGGCTGAGGACATTGACCCCGAGGTAAGGCCCACCCGAGGGGGACACATTCCGTTCCTGTCCCTGCCGAGAAGTGACCTGACCTCCCCACACCCTACAGCTTGCCCGGTACCTCAACCGCAACTACTGGGAGAAGAAGCAGGAGGAGGGACGCAAGAGCCCCACCCCCTCAGCGCCCGCTCCCCTGACCGAGCCGGCCTCCCTGCCCAGGGACGGGCACGCAGCCCCCGCCGGTGCCGTGGAGGTGAGGCTGCGCCCGCCAGTGCCCTCTGACCCACCCCAGCGCTGCGGCCAGGGCACTGAGCCCCTGACCTCTCTCTTCCAGACGCCCCTGCCAGAGACAGATCCTCAACCAGGAGCACCTTCTGGGGGGCCCTTTAGTGAGGTAAGCTGTGGCCACTCCTCACCTGAGAGAACAGAACACGGGGCCCCACATGCCAGGAGGGGGAGCCTGCGTCCACAGGTGTAGAGCTCACGTCGGGGGGCCCACAGCCCACGGCTCGTGGTTTCTGTGCTTTGGCAGCAGAGTCGGGCGCAGCCCCTGGCCCAGAGTGCTGACCGGGGCAGAGGCCGAGAGGGCGGCTGGCCGTGACTGCTGGCTCCGCCCGTGGGCACGCTGCCTCACCCCTCACATGGGCACTCGGTGCAGCTGGCGCCCCAGCCCTCAGTGGTGCCCCTCTCTCGGCAGCACTACCAGAACGGGGAGTCCGAGGAGAACCACGAGCAGTTCCTGAAGGGCCTGCAGAACGCCGTCACCACCTTCGTGAACCGCGTCAAGAGCAACCACATGCGTGGCCGCAGCATCACCAACGACTCGGCCGTGCTCTCGCTCTTCCAGGCCATCAACGGCATGCACCCCCAGCTTCTGGAGCTGCTCAACCAGCTGGACGAGCGCCGCTGTGCGTGGCCCCCGTGTCCCGGGGTGCAGCCCGGGGAGCCAGATGTGCCCAGCACAGAGGCCCTGCAAGAAGCAGGGCTGGCTTCCCCTTCTCCGCCCACCTCGTAGCTCTGACATGCCCACCTCTCCCCACAGTGTACTACGAGGGCCTGCAGGACAAGCTGGCCCAGATCCGAGATGCCCGGGGGGCCCTGAGTGCCCTGCGCGAGGAGCATCGGGAGAAGCTACGCCGGGCAGCTGAGGAGGCCGAGCGCCAGCGCCAGATCCAGCTGGCCCACAAGCTGGAGATCATGCGTCAGAAGAAGCAGGTGTGACGACTGCTCTGCGCCCTTCGCTGTCCTCGGGGGAGTGGGGGACAGAGGCACTACTCCCTGGGCATGGGGGCCCGTGGAGATGGCACTGCTCTGTGGGCGGCTGGCGCAGACACAGCTCTCAGGCTCTGGGGAGACACGGCCCACGGGGACTAGGAGTGGCCGGGTTCTGGGTACAGCCTACCATGGCAGCACTGTTCTTGGGGCTGGGGCAGGCCCAGTGTGGCACTGCTCCCCCTGAGCAGACAGCACCCAGTGGTGGTTAGCCTCACTGACCACACACCCTGCACCCCAGGAGTACCTGGAGGTACAGCGGCAGCTGGCCATCCAGCGGCTGCAGGAGCAGGAGAAGGAGCGGCAGCTGCGCCTGGAGCAGCAGAAGCAGACGGTGCAGATGCGTGCCCAGATGCCAGCCTTCCCGTTGCCCTATGCCCAGGCACGTGACTGCTGGCCCCCTGCCATGCACTCCTGTGACCTCTGGGCACCCCTCCACCTAACTCTGGCCCCCATGCGCCTCTTCCTTTTGCCCCTATCCGTTGTACATCCCCTCCCCCTGCCCATCCCCTAACATACACCCCAGTACCACCTTTTGTCCCTCCTCCGCCCCCACTGTGTACCCCTCCCCTGCTCTCACCCCTGCCATGTGCCCACCCTGGTCTCCACCCCAGCTCACTCCTGCGGGCCCTGTCAAGGCTGGTGCTGACAGCCACTCGCTCTTTCCTCAGCTCCAGGCCATGCCTGCAGCCGGGGGTGTGCTGTACCAGCCCTCAGGCCCCACCAGCTTCCCGGGCACCTTCAGCCCAGCCAGCTCTGTGGAAGGTTCCCCCATGCACACGGTGTACATGAACCAGCCCGCCCAGGCCAGCGGCCCCTACCCCAGCATGCCTGTCACCGGAGCAGGTAGGGGGGCCGGGCAGACGGGCCTCACCATACTTGTACTTCACTTGAACAAACTTACAGATTCATAATTAGGCTAGAAGAATAATAGCATTCTTAAGCATCCCCAAATGTGAGAATCTTACCCTGTATCTGTTCAAAGGTGTATGTACGTGTGAGTGCACAGGCAGCCACACACACGCACACGCTGTGCGCGGTCACGTTTCTGTCTGTGTGGCCCCAGGGTTAGCACATCACCTTGTTCCGGTGAGCTAGTCCCCCGGGGCTGTGCCAACACTCCCTTCAGCTTCTCTGGTGGTTTCTCAGCCCAAGAACCAGAGCCATTTTTTCCAGGAAGCCTGGAGAGGTGCAGGCAGGTGTGTGGTCACAAGGACAGGTGCCCCAGCCCGTCTGGATGGTCACACTCCTGAATGCACCGCCCCCCGCGCTCCAGCACTGGAACCTCATTTGACCAGGCACCCTCGTTCTGGGGTCTGCGGGAACCCCCGACCCTGGAGGGCGGCATTGTGGTTCCCAGGAGTGAGTCCCCTGTGGCCTTCTGTTCTCTGGTCCCTATCCCCATCTTTCTGTCCTTTTCCACAGATCCCAACATGGTGAGCGCCTACATGTATCCATCAGGGGCTGCGAGTGGACAGGCTGCACCCCCAGGCCAGCCTGGACCCACTGCCAGTCCAGCCTACTCGTCCTATCAGCCCACCCCGACGCAGGGCTACCAGGTGAGCAGCTCCCTTACTAGTCCTGATAGCCATGGCCACCCAGGCCGCACCTCTGCTCACCTCCCCTCCTCCTGCAGGGCGCCGCCTCCCAGGCTCCACAGAGCCTCCCAGCTATGCCGCAGCCACCACAGCCCGGGACCATGGGCTACATGGGGGGCCAGTCCGTGTCTGTGGGTTACCAGCCCTACAGCATGCAGGTGAGACCACTGAGGTTCCTGGAGTGCAGGGCAGGCCAGCCAGCCATGGGGCGGACCCAGCTTGAGAGGCTGCCTTCCACCTGTACCCCTGTGTTGGCTCCCCACTATTCAGTGTCACTTTTTCCCTCCTAGAACCTCATGACCACCCTCCCCAGTCAGGACACGCCTCTGCCCCCCCAGCAGCCCTATCTCTCGGGGCAACAGCCGGTGTACCAGCAGGTAACCTAGCATGGGTCCCCCTCCTCTGAGCACCAGCCGCGGGGCCGGAAGGGCCTCTGGCCGGCTGATGTGGGAGTGCACGCACCCCAGACAGGTGTCCACATGTGTGTATGCCTGTCGACACTAAAAACTGTGTACTTGGAGCCTCCAGAGGCCACAGAAGTCCAACGCATGAGACCTGGAGACCCCGCCTGTGTGGGAAACGTGACAGGCCCCACTGGAGGGAGGAATCGGTCACTCTTTTAGGTGGCCTGGGCGGCTTTGAGGGTTTCCTTCCCAATGAGGCCAGTGAAGGAGGCTGACCGGCTGTCTTCCCCCTAACCCTACAGATGGCACCCACTGGGGGGCCCCAGCAGCCGCCCCCTGTGGCCCAGCAGCCGCCCACTCAGGGGCCCCCAGCCCAGGGCAGTGAAGCCCAGCTCATCTCCTTTGACTGACCCGCCAGGCACGTGCCAGCCTAACACTACAGCTCAACTCGCTGTTGCCACTCACTACCCCTGCGTGTGCAGGCAGGCAGCCCCAGATCTGGGCATCTTTATTCCAGCCTTCGCCCCCGAACCCCAATCTCAGCCTGCAGCCCTCATCCCCACCCCAGTTCCATCTCATCACCATCTCACAGCCAGGTCGGCAGGGCTGGGCCTCCAGGAGGTGGAGGGGAGCCTGTGCCCCCTGTCCTGGCCCCTGTGGGTGGCTGGCATGGCCCACTGGCCTTCCAGGAGGGCTGGAGCTGGCTGCCCACCTGCGACTCCACCGCAGATGCCCCTGTGCTGGGGCCGGGGTGGGGAGCGCCCTGCGTGTCTTTCGCTTCGAAGCTGTCATCTCTCATTCCGCGCCCCAAGACCCACCTAAGATGATGACAATAAAACAAACGAGAAGGTGCCTCTGCTTCGTGCCCAGGGGAGGCCGGGAGGGCAAGCGGGCAGTCTCCCAGGAAGCCGGGAGCCACCATGGCCGCTGCGCACAGAGCAGAAGTCCAGAGGCCTCGGCCAGGGGGTGGGAGAGCTGGCGGGCCCGAAATGAGGGTGCCCACGAGCAAAACCCCGCGACACAGCCTCAGGCACCTGCCAGCGACACGCCCCCTCCCCGCCCGAGATAACGGCCAGCGGCGGGCTGGACCTGGGGGCGACAAGGGACGGCGCTGGGGCTCCCCTGCTCCCCGCCCCCGGGGGACTCCGACGAGCCCCCCGCCCGCAGCCGCATCGTCGTGACCCGGGTGGGAGGGGGCGTCAGGGCCACACTAACCAAAGTGCAGGACCCGCCCCGGGACGCCAGGGGGAGCCCGCTCCGGCGGAGGGAGCGCACTGCGTGCTCAGCCGGGCCGGCGCGCAGCCCGGGGTCTCCGCTCCCAGAGGGGACCGCGCCAAGCCCCCTCCCAGCGGGGCGCCATCCGCCCCTGGGAAACACGTGCGCCTGCGCCGCCCGCCGCCTTCTGGGTATCCTCCAGTCAAGAGGAGGCGAGCGCGAGG